CTCCTCAGGTGCTTCAGTCTGTTCAGGTGCTTCTGTCTCCTCAGGTGCTTCAGTCTGCTCAGGTGCTTCTGTCTCTTCAGGTGCTTCAGTCTCCTCAGGTGGTCCTACAGTTGCTATATGCCGTAACAAGAAAAAAAATGAAGCAAGAAACACTATAGCTATTCGGTTCTATCCAGTTTATATATTTTTTGTTTATTGCAAGGGGGCTTGCAAACATTAACACTTTGACAACTATTTCCGACAAAATTCAAGATGATATTTCTTCTTCACCATCGTGACTGCCACGCGACCCGACACAAGTTATGCACTAAAAACAAACACATATTTTATAATCATTTCACAAGATGGCCTGCATACAGAGACACACAGACACAATTGTCCAAGATTTCAGATAAGCAACCTATTGTTGGCCCATTTTTTTTCCGTAAGATAAGCGGTGCAAGCGCATGAAACCACTGACGGGCGGTGTGAATTTCTGTAGATGTTAAATTGAAATAATTTCGCCTTTCGTAACTCAGGAGACTCGATTCTCGCGTCTAACAGGCGAGAATTAAGTTTCGAGTAGTAACGTAGTTTTAGATAACACGCCTTGCGTGCCTTTGCGCACGCTGAAAGCGTGCTGTGTTATTTCTCACACAGCTGTTGTTTAAAAACTTCAGCACGCTCTTTTGTTCGACTCACGCTAAATTGTCTCAAGCGTGTCCTCAAAAACAAAGGAAATTGGTAATGAGGCAAAATGGCTAGCTTGCGAAAGCGTGTTTTTAAAGTGAAAGCGTGTCGTATAAGCGTACTTTCACTCCTGTGGTTTACATGCAGTCGCGTTCTCAAGATAGTTTAATCATTTCGTGGCAAAAGATAATATCTTGTATAATGTATTATGCACGTCACGAAAACATCGCCCTGAGATAAGTGATCTTCTAGTGTTACATATTTCGGTGCATGATTCTTGCAGTAAACAGTGGGCATTGCGACTACATGATTTGTTTATATTAAAAAGCAAACTGCTGCCTACCGGGAAAACAAAACAAAAACAAAAACAATTGTCCTCTCTTATAACGTTTTGCGGGTTTTAGATTAACGTTAGGGTAGAAATATAAATTTTTAACAATTGCTACCGTCATGCTGACGTCATGCTAAAACCACTGAATGGAGTAGAAAGGAGCATTCTCACGCAATGTGGCTAAATACAGGGACGAGAACAGTAAAAGATCCGTTTCCAGAAATTGCATTTTTTTTCGAAACTCGGGTAACAAGCTAAATGAGTTGGAAAGTTTTCGGCAAAGATCCAATTTGAATGACTGGTCAAAAACTTTCCCTCAATCTTGGCTCAAAGAACCAATACCTCATTACGAAGTGATAACCTCAAAAAAATGATATCGTAAAATCTAGGCACGCGACAGGATCGCCAAATACGTGGCCAATTTTTGTTCTGTTAAATTCACTCTTTCCCTTTCCCTTTTATGTTATCATCTCGCCACCAGCCACCATTTACAACTAACTATAAGATCCGGCTACTTCGCCAAAAGATTATTTGAACCAACAGTTTAATCCAACAGTCATTTAGCTTTTCTGCTATCAGATTTGTCCAAATGGTTTGATGGCCGCCATGGCTAAATAAATCATTAGTTTTGCAAATTTGTGCCTTTATTCTTGTGCACAGTCCCTCGCTCGAGAGGGATTTCGTTTTTATAACATTCAGGCATAAAGAAACGATAAACCTAATAGTGTTGACTTCATAAATGGCTAAATGCAGCCACCAGGAAGTAAAAAGAATTGCACGTTGCCGTTAAGCTGAGCCTTTTGAGCTAAAAAGAACTCTGACACTGCAAGTGAAAATAGCTCTATTCAGCATTTCTAGTTTCATATCGTTTTGCTGTGAACGATATCCCCAAGTTATTTCGTGATCTACCCGTATGAATTGAACCGATAGTTAGACTTTTATAAAAAAAAAAAACTGATTAGTCCCAGGCATGCCGTCCGATCGTTTCATCCTATTCAGCTTAAAATATTGGTATGAAAAATGTTTGGTGATTTATATTGTTTTTTATTTGCCAAAAATGATCTAGTTTATGAACGGAAACATACGAGAAAAAAAACATAGCGAGTTAATAAAATCAAGGAACGAAGTTATTGATTTAGCTGGGGAATTTATTCAAACTGATCGAGATTTTACTAGAAAGCTGCTGTACCTTTAAAACATTTGACGTCACATATTATACGTTGTGTTAATTATACCGTGCAAAACAAATGATTTTATTCTATGCCACACTATCTTGAATGCACAGCAACACCTTAATGAAATTATGATATAAAAGTTATGACACGATTAAGCACAAGAAATAACCTTTCGTAGTCACAAACTTGTAAAAACTACATAAATTACATATTCATGGTTTCTGTATCGATTATGCTGCATATACAGTTTATACCTTAGGCAAAATTTGAGGGAAGTTCAACTTTGTTTCCTTCAAGGTGAAATTTAATTTTAAAGTGGTAAGACAACATTCGAACATTTTTTTTTTTTTTAATGACAAGCTGAAATGACTCAATCGCCGCACTAGTTCTTTACTAATAATGGTCGCGAAAGAAAACATTTTAGAAGCTAAAACACTACTGCAACAATGAGTTTTTAAGAACTCACTAACCTGCTTGTTGTGGAAAAGGCTTTCCTGTAATCACCGTTACAGATGCCATAAGGAATAGAACCATTAACCACCTGGAAGACATGACTTTGTTGAACTCGGCTTCAAGTAAGAAACTTTCAATGACGTCCTTTGGGCAAAACGGAGTTACTTTATAGAAAAACTCTGCATGATTTGAAATGTGACACCAAGTGGTATCATTGTTCTTTTTACGTACTTTTTTATATTGTTATGTTGGAAAAAGGAAGCTTCAACAATATGTGAGAAACGAAATGCTATAATTAAGTTGACATGGTATTTTACATATAGACGGTGAGTCATTAAACTGAAATGATTTCGTCTTTAGCCATCATTACCGTTTTACTAAAATAGGGGCCAGTGAAATCGAAAATTATCCTCAAGCGAAAATCACTTTTTTTCCGTAAAATCCTGAGAAACGTTGGGCCAATAAGGTTTAATTCATTGGAACAGCATTGCAACAAATCTCGTCCACGCACTAAAATAGATAGAGTAATATTATAGGACCATCGTTAGCTCTAGCTGGTAAACTCGAATAGCATTGTGTTTTGCACTGTTTTCTTTTCATTCATCTCCACTTATTTCTCTTATATCTGAGGAAAACAGGTATTCGAACAAGTGGCTTTAACGGGTTAAATTACAGTTCTTGTAGTCTACTTAGCGAAAATTAAGTGATGTTAACTGTAGAACTAAAAAATCAGCAGTGGAAAGCTTTTGACATTCAAACAGACTCTCCCAGTAACAACTAAGATTATCGTGTCATAACTTCTCAAGTTTTTTTAAAGATCTGATCAATTTGAGGAATGAACAATTTTGAAACATAAAAATTATGATAAAGGATGGTACGTATGTAATCTCGTATCGGTCCTTAGTGACAATTTCCAAAACTACAATACAACTTCAATATCAGTAATAATGAGTTGGATTGGTCCCCATTAATCTAGAAGCCTGTTGCCTTACCTCGGTTTAACTAATTTAACTCAGTAGTGTTCATTCAAAAAAAGTAAAGAAAGAAAAACAAAAAGAAAACAAAATGCGTATTTTCATGCAGATCTTCCTATGATTCCTGACTAAGGAATATCTCTATAGAGTCTCGCGGCTTCTTTCAACAAAGAAGCCACTTAGCTTTCCCTTTTTTTTTTATTACAAAAGACTAATACGTAAAGGCAAACCCAATCAGAGATATTAGCCAGTTTAATTAATGTAGTGCGAAAAAGCAATACATGCAACCGAGATCATATATGTATAATGTGTTATAACGTGTTCCTTATCCACTCATGCTGTTTTATTCAGTATAAATCGTAATACATCTTAAGTTTAAACCCTAGGTAAACTCGTTTTCATTTCATGATAACTTACTGATGTCTTTTCTTTGCGTGACCGAAAAGAATAATGATTCTGAAACCCTAACAATTAAGGACAAAAGATCTCGTATTTGTACTCCAAGAAATATAATTATTCAATTTTTTTTTGAGTGACCAAGAGGTGTGACGAAAGTGCTAAAGCCGTGAAAATAAGCATCTAAATCTTATGTAGAAACCTTTCCCGATGTAACAGAATGCGGCCTCTAGGGTTTGTCGGCATAGGTTTTCTATAGGTTTTCTATTGGTGTTTATATAATAAATAGAGGATATTACATGGCTGCGCGGAGATACGAAATTTGTCTTCGAGTGTTGAAAAAATATTTCACTCGTTCGCTGCGCTCACTCGTGAAATATTTTTTCAACACTCGAAGACAAATTTCGTATCTCCAAGCGGCCATGTAATATTCTATTTATTATATAAACACCAATGAAATACTAATCCATTTCTCTTTAATATTTTTTAAGTCTTAGAGAAGACGAATGTTTCAGAACTAAATAAGAATGGAACAAACTACATAGCTATAAAGTGTGAACGAAATACAAATTCCTTTCCTTTACAATGTAACGAGGAGCTATCCTAATTTATATTTGCCTCATAGACTTTTTTTACATTTCAAAAAAGCCAGCTTATTAAAGCGAGATTATTTTTAGAATCAAATCCAATGTTGCTCTACATTTTTAAGTTCCATTTAAGATATAAAGAGCGAGTTCAATGCTAAAAACTAAGGAGTTGGCAAAAACTATAAAGCATTATGTAAAGATGTAATGGCAAATATTAGAAACAAAAGTTAGCGTAAAGCTTTCTCGTAGTCATTTCTTGACTACCTTAGTGCTCAACTCTCTGTTCACAAGATCATGATCAATTTTCTTGGCTGCTTCCTCTGTCTGACTCAATGCACATCACTCTGGCCGATAGTGTTAAAAAGGTGGTGCGCCGACGGGAAAGTGAAACGCAACCCGCGAAACCTCTGAAACTTCACAATTCGTCGACGCCGTGCTTGACAGAATGTTTGAAATGTTTTCCATCTGTCGCTCTGTAGTTGTTTATTGACTGTAGGTTTTTGTGACCGGTTATCTGTATTATCTGATTTGGCGGAACGCCATTATCCGGCTGTGTAAAAAAGTGGGACTGGGACAAGGGTACGGGGACATCGGGACGCGTGTGTGGGGACTTGGGACTTGGGGACGCGAGACGAGGGACTTGAGGACATCGAGTATGGGGCGCGGGGACGTGTGGGACGGGGAAGCGGGGACGTCTAATACAGGGACGCGGAATGTGAATAATTATCGCAAAAGTTGGAGGTAAACGCGATATCTCTTTCTTCGTGAAATGTGTTATTTAAGGTCAACATTAGATTCCATCTTCTGAAACCACATTGGACACCTTATGATGTTTACACAAAATATTTCTTTATAATAGGAGTAAGCGCGCTGACTATCGTGATTAGGGTTAGGGTTGATTTCCACTGTCGCGTAATTTTTCCATGCGTACGTGTATAAAATTTGTGTTCGCAAAAAAAATAGAGGCAATGTATGAAAGGTCGCACGTAAGCGTAAAAGTAGAATCTCGCTCAACTTCACGTTTAATCTCAACAATTTATATCTTGCCTATATCTTATTTATGTGATTAAAATTTACTTGCGTTAACGTGCATAGCCAAAAACGCGTCAGTGGAAATCGACCTTTAAGTACTGTTAGCAAGCATTTACTGTTAGTTTTGCCACTAAAATATATTTAGAACAAAATAAATATTGCTACAATAGTTGAATCCCCGTGGTTTAGCGGTACAGGCGATGGATTTCGGAGTTAGCACTTCGGGATTGAAGCTCGCTTATGCCACTTAATTTTAAATTTATTTGGAATCGAATGCTGTTATTCTACATAATTTTTGGCAACCGCAACCCACTCTACCCTGCTTTGGGCTCCAATGTTCAATCAGCAAGAAGACCAGGATAACGGTTTCACTTTCTTCAATGCAGGAGGTCTTCGCCGAGTCTTTGCTTCCTAAACAGGCATGGAGGGACCCTAAGGAGGTCAGGCTTCACCAAAACATATTTACGAGAAAAGTGATAATTATTATTTGCTATAATTATTCACATCCCGCATCCCTGTATTTGACGTCCCCGCGTCCCCGTTTCACACGTCCTCACGTCCCATACTTGATGTCCTCAAGTCCCTCGTCTCACGTCCCCAAGTCCCAAGTCCCCACACACGCGTCCCGATGTCCCCGTCCCCCTGTCCCCGTCCCACTTTTATACACTGCCCCATTTTCCTTTTGCACGAGTGTTTTTCTCCCGGCGTGGTTTGTCTTTGGGGGAATTCCCACTGCCTCGCACATGTCTTTTAGGATACTGTTCAGTTTATTTACCCCCATAGCTTGTGCTTAAACCAAGTACAGTCGTTCTGCTGCCCCTATAGAAGATTTGAAGTGGTTGACCGTCAAATAAAATGGATCGTCTGGTTCCATCATGGACCTAGGGCGTTTATCTCTGTATAGTTTATACACATTCACTGAATTGCGCTTCCCTTGAATTTCTTTGTTTTCGTACATTATTGGTTTCATGGGCCTAACAGTCCTTTTGTTGTCGCCCTGTCTGCTCTCAGTTTGTTTCTCTGAATGAACAAGATATCCTTTGCCTTGACTGTCAGTCTCCAAAACAACATCGCCCCAATGTAAATTTCGTTGTTCTGTGCAACGTTCGAGACAGAAGTGTAAAATTTTAATTTATGCAGCCACACAGTGTTCAGTAACTATAGTGTGAAGAACTTGCTCCCAAAACCTTTTTTCAAAGAGATCATCAATTTCTTCTTCTGAGAGATTAGTGGTTGCATTCGGCTTATTTCCTTGGCCTTGTTTTTTTTTTCAGTTCTTTTAGCTTTGCTTTGATGCGTCTCTCAATCGCGTAAATTCAGGATCAAATAGGTGGTTTTCACGTTACGTCATCGCCGCCATGCTGGTGGACGGTAAACAAAAGATCGCTCATTAGCTCGCTTTGTTTGTCCACCAGCATTTGTTCATTTCACCATTGTTATTTGTGTCTCCCGAGACTGCATGAAAACCACCTATAGCCTTCTCCCATATTCGCGCCTTGTAAGATCACGGTCAACGCTTGATAAGATTCTTCTGAGAGAAGACGGCTCATATTGTTCTCCTTTCTTCGTTCAAGCTGCAATAATGAATTCACTAAGGTACACATTCAGCTCCTCCGGCGAGATTTTCTCCAATTCTCTCTCTTCTTTTCAAACCTCGCGAAGAAATTTTAGAACAATGTTCAGGTCATGCATTGTCTTTTTCTTCGTATTTTCGTTTTCTTATTGAGCAATAAGCTCGTCAACATCACCCTTTGCCAAATCAATAAACCTGGATTTAGAATCATCGTCCATCGGATCAATAATAGTTAGATTCCAAATCGTCCGCCGTTCTGAAGTTGCGTCAAAACTACTTTGACAAAGGCGCCGCTTGGAAAGGTGCGATTTATTATGTAACCATAAAACGCTGATCTTTTCACATGTGCCAATAACGTGTTATCTTCACCTGTGGGGATATCATGTTTTCGCGCGAAAGCTAGCCTGGTATTTCATTGGTGTTTATATATACTTATTTCAAGATAATTGCAATATCTTGTAAAAAGAAAAAAGTCGAAGTTTTAATGTAGCAGTCAGGGTACCCCCACAACTCAGTAAAAACACAGTATATTGAGAGTTGATTAATTAATTAAATTGGGCAACATACCACGCAACATACGCTTGATTGACGTGTTTCGCCTTTCTCAAACCTCATCAAGCGTAATTATGTTGCGTGGGAGAATAGCCTTAAGTTAACCTGAAGTGAAAAAGAATCGGTTGTGTGTGAAGCTTTATTTTACTTTAAGTAATTAAAATTTACTTGTCTTGAAATACTTCTTAGCTTATTTAGGCTCTAGTGTAAAGACTACCACTGGAGAGCACTTCTTACAGGTATGCATCGTTCACTCTAAAAAAGGCCATATGTGGAGGTAATGGACTGAAAAGCGATTCGTGTTTTATAGTTTTGGTCTACTAAGTGGTAAAAACTGAAAACCCTTAAAATCAATGACAGGTTTATCACTAATTGCATGGGGAAAGGGCGAGTCAATTAATGCTGTTTATGGTAGCATTTTCGTGTCAGCGAAAATAAGGCCAAGACGTTTTTTTAAAGCGGCGTTTTATTGTGTAACGGCGGCAAACGGTGTGATGTTACGTAGTTTAGACCCGAAGCAACGAAAAAACTATTGGAATAAATCTTATTTTCTTTTAGTAAAATCCACGTTGAAAGCTATTTTTATTTATTTATTTATTTTATTGAATTTCATTTACCACACAATAAAAAGAAATGAATAACAAATAATAAACGAAACGTAGAAAAAAAGTGGCGAGGAGACCTAGCAGAAACTATAGGAGCTTATGAGACGTTAGGCCTTTTTGAACTACCCGCTAGAGTGTTTACATCATTTGAAAAAAAAAGGATGGCGAAAAGTCGAAGATGACATGATTTATGATCGGTTTTCATTTACTTACTACTTTAATCTTCAGCATTTTCTTATAGGAAGAAAGGGATTGAGAGTTGATGACCTCGTTGTGAAGTAAATTGAAAAACTTGAGAAAAGGCGAGAACTTCTTAGTGTTTGTTCGGCAATACGGAAGACAGTATGACCTGGGAATTTCTTTCATCGTAAGAGTGGAATGGATTGCTTTGGGAGAAATTGAACCTCTGTGTGCTACCACCTCTCGTAAGCGACCACCTCCGATAAGCAACCGCTCATCCAAAACACCAAAATTTTCCCAGTCAAAGCGTTACATTTAGAACCACCTGTAAGCGACCGCGACCACTTTTTGGGACTGACGGTTAATATTTTCCATTGTTTTTAACCTCTTGTAAGCAACCACTTGACCTGTGTTCACTGTGTTACTTAGAATACACGAAGAACCTTGAGAGACAGCATGGAACTACACATTTCCTAACTTAGACATTGCGAGCAATAAATCATCTTTCATAAAGTAGATGTGCATGGACCTCTTCTAGGAAGGGACCCCCTGTGGTTCGATTCGTGTAAACGACCACCTCCCGTAAGCGACCACTCAGTCTTTGCATTTTGGGTGGTCACTTACGGGAGTTTCGACTGTATTTTAAAGTGCCTTCCCAGGTCCCAAGGAGTGCTCTATCCAGTTTTACTTAATTATCTTGCCGAGATCTTATATTAACATACACCCGCAGACTGAATAATTTAGCTGGTCAACTGATGTCGCATTTAAAGGTCTGGAGAGAGCAAATTCAACAAAATTCAATAAATTCTTACTGACAATCTGTTGATCACTTGATAATATTTGTGTGTGTGTACTACAACTTAATGGTTGTCTTACATATATTTCACTCGAGCTGGCAATTTTAAATTTTATCTAGCACAGCTTTGTCACAGGCCAGTCGCGCTACGCGAATAATACAAGTACACTTGGAACCGAACGCTATCGAAAGCTCGACCTGGGAAAGTTCTCTTGAAAGACTTGGCGGCTGCTTGAACATTCAGGGTACGACTGAAAACGAGACTAAAAGGCACGGCAAGAAGAAAGATTAAGGTGAGATTTTAAATAATGTCACTGCATGGAGCGTCCTAAAAGTGACGTGAGCGAAGTGACCGTTACTAAATGGACTCCTCGGTGACCGCATTAGAAAAGTCCAGCCGTAAACAAAACGCAAACAAAATAAAATTAAACATTCATTTTATTGGTCAAATATTAACGATTTTTTTTCACGATTTGTTTGGATTCAATTGCCCAATAAAACAATTGAGGTCATTGTTAGTTTGAATTTAATGTTATGTCCCTGCTGTTTCTCGGCCCCTTGTGGTTCCAGGTAGCAAGTTTAAGTCCGTAACTTAGTCGTCCTCATCACTATCACTATCTTCATCACTATCACTATCTTCATCATCATCATCATCATCATCATCGTCATCGCCGCCATCAGGTTCCTCAGCAGCAACTGTGGGTGTCGGTGTTGATGTTGGTGTTGTGACATCTGCGGGGGTGGTCATGTTTACCGGCATTGTAGTAGTCGTGACATTTGCAGGGGTGGTCATGTTGACCGGCATTGTAGTAGTCGTGACATTTGCAGGGGTGGTCATGTTGACCGGCATTGTAGTAGTCGTGACATTTGCAGGGGTGGTCATGTTTACCGGCATTGTAGTAGTCGTGACATTTGCAGGGGTGGTCATGTTTACCGGCATTGTAGTAGTCGTGACATTTGCAGGGGTGGTCATGTTGACCGGCATTGTAGTCGTGACATTTGCAGGGGTGGTTATGTTCACCGGCATGGTAGTCGTCATGTTAGCCGGCATGGTAGTGGGATCATCATCATCATCGCCATCATCATCTCCGTCATCATCACCGTCTTCTCCCTCGTTGTCATTTTCTTCATCTGTTGATAAAATTGAACAAAGTTGCAAGTAAACTCAGAGAAGATGTGTAATGTTGGTGTTGTCACGTAAATAACAGTTTGTGACTAAGTACTGTTATTCAATCTTTTGCTATTAGTTTTTTTGTATAATTGATTAATTAATTATAGTATTTTAAAATTAACTTCTATATAGACCACTTGTGGGGCAAGTAAAAATCGAGACAAAGAAGCTTCGGAAAGGCATATCTAAATGATAAGGTGAGAACTTCTAACCCTTAAACACCTTTTAGTATCTAAAGTCCACCATTTTCTTTACTTATCAGTTCGTTACTACAAGAATCGATCGGCATTTCAATTGATCGGACGAACTTAAAGCAGAGGTGATCACAACTGACCTCAGACAGATTGTTCTTACGTTCAATTATTGGGAGAGGAGCAAGTAGCCTGATTTGTGTCTTTTTACTTTTAATACCATTTTCCAAGTTTCCTAAAAATTTAACTTCATATAATTATTCTGTTGGGGGAATTGATTGGACTTCACTAACTAGCAATGATTAAAGGCATCATATTACAAAAACACGTACGAGAGAAACTTGATCATCGCTTTGGTCAAAATCAAGGGGAAAAAAGACAGAGAGAAAAGATGCCGCTCTTTCAGTACCTTCTAGTTGCGGTTTTTTATAGGACGAGGCAAATTTGTAAGAAGTGTCACATTATGTTACACAGTACCAAACTTTGACACTGTATGTCACTGGAAATCCAACTATTTCTAGAATTTTTATCGTATAATTCTAAAACTTTTTGCTAACCTAAAAACAAATGCGTTTACACAAATGCACTTTGGCAGTATTAAATACTGAGATTCGTAAACGGTGTAAGAAATTTTATATTTAAAAAAGCTATCAAAGAGATGAAACTTTTTACGTGTGTAAAAATAGACAATCTTCATTTCTGGAAACTTAAAAAAGATTATACTCGTTAAGTCTTTATGTCTCGTTAGTCATAAAGTAGTCATCTAACGGTCATATAAATACCCTGTTAATTTGGGAAGCACTGAAATACGCTATCAGCACCACAAACAACTCGTCCCAATTAACTAGCTACAAGATAGATTCATAAAATAAAGACTTACCATCATCATTTTCATCGTCTGGTACTGGAATAGCCCACAGCTGTCCAATTAAGGCCATCAGGCAGATGAGAATAAGAGTCTTGGAAGCCATCTTCTTGGTGTTTTCAAAGCCTCGGCGTGAGTTATCTTGAACACTGAAATCTTTGCTCAACTTCCAGGTAATTTATAGGCAAGCGGAAAACAATTTACAAACCTCGAAAAGCCATGATATTGTTTGCGGTTTTGTGTTCCCAACTCCAGAAAACAAAAATACCGTCAATGACAATATCGAAAATTGCACAGTTGGAGAAATATGGCGTGAGATTTCAGCGATTATTGCTTAGTCACTTACCGTTTATTTATAGTTTGATTAAGTTAAAACACATAATAAACGACTTTTGGACTTTTGGAGAACAATCACAAGCGATAAGCTATCTGAAGATACTCGACTTACTTCTTCCTAAAAACACGGCAGTAATATCTAGACCTCATAAAACTTCTCATAATCTTAAAGTGGACACTTAAAGGAAGCAACAAAAATAGCACTTAAAAAAGCAACAAACATAACTCTTAAAAACTCGTGAAATAAATAAACTTATGTCAGCCCTTGTTAATGATCGTTTATTTAAGAACGTTGTTACTTTATTTATTTATTTTTATTTTCATTTTTTACTTAATATTTTTTAATTCACAGTTTTACACTCAACATCTAGTTTAGTACAGTTATAAATACTCCACGTGCACAAAATAAAAATGATTATAGTAAAAGAATCTTTTTAATCAAAGAATTCAAGTTATCTATTTTTCTTTATTCGAGTGGCTGACATGTGTATTTTATTTATTTTTTAAATTTCTTACAGTAAGGTCTATTTAATGGCAATGATAGTTTAAGGCATCCGACTTTGCCATAATTTGTTGATTTTGGGATGTAAATATACTAGGTTTTAATTGCTTGTGTCCAAAACAGTTCTTTAACAATTTGTAGAGCTTGTTCTAAAAGTGGACACATCATTAGTAGAATGGCTACTCTTGTGTTTGCATTAAGTCAGGCATGCAATGGTAACCACTAATTGGTTACCATAACAGGCAGAAACCAAACAGGAAGTTGAAGTATAGTAAATTTTTCTGGCTTGACTGCTATGAAATAAAAAGGTAATTAGCAGTGTTGGCCTGGGTTTTAAGGTTACGTAACAAAATAGATCGCACCCTTTTCCAAAAGCCGAAATACACATTCTTTACGCAACAAAATCTTATTTTTATCAGTATACAAATTCCTTCTTTTCTTAAGCTCAGTAGTAAAGGAAAGCAAGAGATAGCCCTCGGACGTACAAGAGAGGTTTTTTTTTAGTTTTAAAGGAATTTGATGTCTTGTATTTGTCCATTTCTGTAACTGTTTGTTCATCCTTTATACTAATTTTTGCTTTGAATTTGATAATAGCCGGCTCATATACGTAGGAGATGTTGAAAGGCAAGCCGGAGCGAAACATATTGTACCGGATCAAATTCCTCAAAACAATAGGCTTTGTCATAAGCGGTGCTGCCGAAATCACACCGAACAGTCGGAGCAATAATCGACAAATTTTTGGCGTGATAAACTTGTAATGTTTGGGGGCTTGAGAATTGTGTCTTGCTCTGAAGGGATGCTATTTTCATTTAGGTATTACAGGGAAGTTAGGTTCTTATCAAGTAAAACAGTAAGGTGAACCTTTTTTGTTTGACCTACCTAACAATTCTTGCATGAATGAAAAATCTTCACTACTCTTAGCTTTTCAGTAAAGGTACCACTAAAGAAATAACTAAGGGATTATCGAATTACAATTTACAACTTGCGGGTCGTAAAGGAGAGCCGTTTCACCTTGAATCAGATCGCAATGTAAAGGATTTTATTATAACATTCCTATATGCGTTTTTACTGGGCGCTCTGTTTCCGACGACTAAAACGACCACGAGTACGTTCTCAAACCGCTAATTCTTTGCAAGACCAAGCGCTGCGAATCACGAAGGTGCGACCTTTGTTATTCGCTCATTTTTCAAACTAAAAATTGTTCGACTTTTTATGCGCGGAAACTGCGTCCGAACATTCTTCTACAAACGAATACATGTATTGACAAGTTCCACATCAGTTAAAAAGATTTTACTCTTTAGTTCACCTTGACGAGTAGTTCGAGAAACGTGAAAAAAAGAAATGCTTGTTTGTTATGTAGACGGAACTTCACGAAGGTGAGATTTTTGCGATCACTGTCTTTCGTTCATTTTTTGTTAGTATTGGCGTAAGCAATGAACATCGTGACCGATCATCTTCTTGTAAAAACAAAATGTAAAACGATTCATCAAATTTCAATATTTTTATGACAACTATTATTACTATTCAAATAGACTTGCAAGTACTTTCAATATTTTTTCAAAAGCTTAACAAAGTACATCAATATGCAACTAGCCTGGCCTCTAAGAAGTCTTCTTATTTACCAAAAGCTACGACCAACAATGGGAAATTTAATATCCGTTTCAATGGGGCTAAACTCTGGAATTCTATTAAAGAAGAACTAAAATTAGCGCGAGTCGTTTTTGCTTTTAAAAGCTTTATACATCAAGGCATTTTTACGATAACAAGGACTCTGAAAACTTTGCGTCACCAAGAGCTCTGCGTGGTAGCGCACTCGTTTGCTCAGGACATCAGATATTAAACAGAGTAGAATTAGGTTGGAGAAAATTTGCCCACAAGAGGTGACGAACGTTATTTAATAGATATGCCAATATATAATAAACAAAAATCCCTTTGGCCAACGTGGGGGAAAAAACTGCCACCCACTACGACAATAGAGAGAACCAAACTAGCAAATAATTCGCAGGAAGTCGGAACGGGAAGTGGTGTAAAACAAGCAATGTGAACTGCGTGATGGTGAGCGATCGAAAGGGGCGAGCTCATTAAGCGCGCTCAAGAGCGATAACGTCAAGTCCGGAACGCCCTAAATTCTAATTGGCTGGAAATAAGATACGCTTGAAGCCTTCTGCCTTAACCTGCAAACCACTATCTAAACAATGCCTTGCCATAAAATCCCACAATGATGTAGTCACAACGGTGTCTTTTAAAAGAATCTGTCATCTCCAAATATCGATTGGTTCCTCGGTGTACTTTATATGCAGCTACTTGTGTGCCCAACCGTTATTTTTGCTTCTTTGTTTATTCGTTTGTGTATTTGTTTATTTATTACAGTTTTAAAATTTTTGTTATGTGTGCATTCGTTTATTTATTACAATTTAAATATCTAGTTACAATTGAAATGTTTTTTCTTTTCTTTTTCCCCGCTTGGCCCAGCCGCTCGGAGCGCGATTAGCTTTTGATATTTCTGAGTGGCTGTGCTCTCCTTTATTTGCAATTACTTTACTCCTTCTTTTGTATCAAGAGTACAATAAAGGTTTTTGTTATTGTTTGTTATTGTTGTTCTTTGACAAACGCACCTTTACGCTGAAAAAAAATGGAAAAAGGTGAACGCTTGCAAAATAATTAGTCACAAGTGGTGGATGCTTGAGTTTGTGTTATGAGTGGGACTTGTGACTTTTTCATGTATTTTTTGCTGGTTAGCAATATCACCTAAGATAAAAGTTCACGCGCAATAGAAATTGTAAAAAAATTATTAACGGTTTCTGAACATAAATAATAACGTGTCAAAAAAAAAACAACAACAATTTAAGAACAATATAGTTGCATGCGTGCAGAAAAAAATGAGGCCTACACATTTAGCTGTTTTATACATGAATGGGACGTGTGACTTCTCCCGTTGTTGTTTTTGTTACTATAAAGAATCGGGTAGGCAATTACTCCTAAAATACAATTCAAATGCAAAAAGATCAAAATTGTTAGAAATGTTAAAAAAACCTTTCCACAATCAAGCCAAGTTTTATGACTAACACCCCAGTACATCGAAACGGTTAGGAACGAGCACATGCGCAAACAGTGCACGCATCAGTTTATTTACAGTTAAATAGGGTGTGTTAATTTGTATTCACTTTTTCTTTTTTTTTTTTTTTCATTTCAGTGGAGCACAGGATTTAAATACTTCTATAAATATAAAAACGCTATGAGAAGCAAAGGAGTCATGCAAAGCGAAATAAAAGCGAAAAATAAATGTCTCGTTGTTATTGTTGTTGTTGTTGTTTTTTTTTTTTCGATAAGCTAGACGAAATACTTTTATTTCAAAGTTTTAGGTAAGAGTCTTCAGTGGAAGATTTAGCCTAGTGCAAATTAATTCAACTAAATCAACAGAGCATGTGATTTTAATTGTGATTTCACAACAGTGAAGTTAATAAGCCCCTGAATGAATGGTAATTTACTAAGTGCGTCGATAATTCATTCAAATGAAGCAATGTAGCGAAAAGCATGACTGTACACTGAACGCATCAAGTTTTTTGCACGTGGAAAGTAATTGAAGAAGTCAATAGAAAACCTTTGAATGTAGTCTAGTAAACAATATCCACAAAGACCTTGAAACTGGAAGTTTCTTATTTTACCTTTGTACAACCGATAAGTACCGATAAAGCGACGATCAGTGTTTTGACCATCCCTCCCATAAGCGAGCTTTGCTTACAGGCAATTGTAGCTCTTACCGAGCTTATTACTTCCAAATCACCGTGGTTTCGGAATTTTACATGTGCGAAGACCTCATTGTTTTAGCCGTTTTAAAAATGGCCAAATATGGCCGGCCACTTCAACACCAGAAAACAAACCCTGTTATTTTCGAATTTGATCCCCTTTTCTTGATACCATGAGCTTAAGTGGTTTTATATGAGCTACTAAAAAAATAAAGCTTTTAAGATGAAAATAGTATTGCAAACCAGCTATTATATTTTCTCCCATCTCGTCTTTTCTATTTTCATGTCGAATTCGATCGTTCCTTTTTGTTTTCTTTCTTTTTTTTAATCTCATTTTTAATTGACAACTAAAGCCAAAAGTTATAGTGACGAAAAATATAAAAACGCTATAATGAGTGTTCCCCCATGCAATGTTGGGGGTATTTTGCACGCACGTCTAAGTTATACCTTCTATACGCCGAAGCTGATATATTGCAATAACCTTGGGTATGGGAATCAGCACGTAGTCCTGGACTCAAGGTA